CCAGTGCACGCCAGTGCAGGTATGGTGCAGCTCATTGGCAACATACCTCCGCACATGCTAGATCAAGGCGAGGATGGTCGGGTCGAGTTGGATCAGGTTCCTCATAAGTACTGCCACGTACCTGTACTATTAGCATACGAAGTCGGCCGACCTTTGCATTATTTTTGTATCATTTAGCACTCTGTGTTGCAAGCTAATGTGGCCATCTTTCCCTAAGATTCGAATAGAAATTTCTTTGAGTACCTGAGCTGCCACAGAGCTTGTGAGTCCGTGTACTGGTCCGTGTAGTGGTCCTCCCCAGCCCCTCTTCTTCGGTTGACCGCAGTTGACAGGTCGGACCAAAGGCCGTGCCGATCCGTGGACCGAGGTCAGCCTCCATCCTGTCGGTCGCTCGTAGAGTCAATGTACGACCCCAACGTGCTGCGCAGCACTTGGGGTCCGACCAATACCTCAGAAAGCGAAGTGATTCGGCTGCAATCGATCCACCTTCGTTGATGGAGGCTCCAAGACCAGCGAGTTCTTTGAGCGCGTCCGCGAACACAAAGCCTCCGGGTCGCGGAGGCGAGTCGTTCAGCGGAGTTCGGCGGAGTGAATCATGGTGAATCCAGCAAGCAGTAGCTGGATTCAGTAGCTGGGAGAAAGGAATCCATTGAAGTATTTCTATGATTCCGCTATATTCCACTCTATTCCACTCATTTGGAGAAGAGAATGGTTTTTGTACGTTGTAATTGAAAAATGACATATGGTCATATGGTGCAAAACATCTGCAAACACTGGAATGTCCTCCATCTCAGGGGCTCCGGGATGTAAGGAAGAATATATATACTCTTTTGGTGTACTAGTACCCAAGGCTCTCTAGGATGGCTGGGTCATAGCAAGAGCAAGCGAGGTGGGTAATTCTGGCGTTTGTAACCAGGAAAGCCAAGACCACAAAGGGAACTTCCCAAGTCGGGACTCCCAGCCATCGACCCCGGTTCCAAACTTGCTACTCGGGACTGGAGTCCAAGGCCGCTCGCACGGATCCCTTTTTTTGTCCACCATATTGATTCTCATAGATCCTCGGATCCATTGCCGTTTCCCCCTCAAAGGCGTGTCTTCGACCTCCCACGGGACCACCGTGAGAAACGACTCGTCAACACCCCGTGAGGCGGGGCGCCCGCGGGCGCTTCTTCCTCTTCCAATGGGCTTCGGCGCTGCGGGAAGCGTTGGATGCTCTACGCGCCCGAGCGAAGGATGCCCCGGTGGTCTACAAGCTGAGGAGGTTTGGTTGGCTGAATTTGAAGGAAGCATCAGTGATGCCCTGGATGGGGTGTGCAGATCAGCCGCCCAAATCCAAGTTCATCAGAAGTTCTAGTCTAGTCGACAGTCGGGACTTCAAGGTGCTTGGCTGGCCGGAGTAAAACCTTAGGATAATGATATGTTCCAGGTGATGTGATGGTCGATGCCAGGCATGAGCGACATCTAGTGGTTTGATGGCACTCCAGATGTGGCTTCAACATGCTGCAGCCAACACGAGTAGAATCAAGGAGAAGCAATCATGCTGCCCTCATTCTCGCGGTTTGAGCGAAACTTGGTGCTTTAGCCAGGCAAAGCCTGACACGAAGCCCACCAAGCTTGTTGGGTGATTGGCGCGCACGGCGCTATGATCTGGAGCGACGCCGGTGGCTTGGGGCTCCTGGGCCAAGTTGGAAAGGTTCTTGGATCTCTTTGATTGGATTGCAGGGAGTACCATAGTGACTAATAGGTTGGACGCTACTAGGTTGGAGGCCATTCATTGCTATTACTTGAGTGCGGGCCTGATCAGAGTAGATGTTACAATCTTACTTATAGACCACGAGCCTTTTGATGAGGGTCGATTTAAACATATTACTTTAAACACCTCTTGGGGGTTGTGCCATCTACTCTGAAACCTCTGTAAGACAGGAATAGGTTATCCAGCACCTTCCACTTTGGGTATACATGCAGTATAGACATTTGGTACAAACCTGCGCATGGTGGGGAAGTCGAGCCTATGCAACATGAGTCCGATGTGTGAATAAGCTCCTTTCTTTAGATAGTTGTTCTCTCTTACGATCCGCATTTCTTGGAACATATCGTGGCCTTGCTTTGTTTCGGTGTTTTTCCCTGATTTCCCCTCTAGACATGGTGCTTTCAGCCACAGTTACAGCATGTTACACCGACGAACCTCGTTCCACTTTGTCGGGTACTCTCCTCGAGTTCCAGCGCGTGGCAAGGTAACAGTTAATGAGAAGTACTGGTTGTGTGAACTCGTGACACAGCACTCAGCAAAGCGTTGTGGAGAACATTTGGTCCCGATTCATGACAACGCGAGCACCAAAACAATCTCATGGCCGTTTAGAGCAGGACATGAAGTTTGCATGTTGCAAAGTACAAGCTGGATCTCAGTTTGTATGAACAAAGCAGACCTTGCAAGCTCCATATCACATGTTTCAGTATGCTTGTGTATATTATATACAAGCAATATTCAATTCTGGTTCGGATTCCGGTTCCGTTCCGGGGAAGTCACCCCAAACCTTGGCGTTTCCTCCGCTTGCGGCGGCGTTTTCGCAGGTGCCTCGACGCTTGCGGGGCAGCCGCTTGCGGGGTCAGCTTCTGCTGCGACGACAGCTGGAGCAGTTGGTGAAGAGGAGCGCAATTGTTGCACCAAAGAGATGAGAGCGCTTTCCGACAGAGTCGGATAAATGAAAAAAAGAGTCTTCCAAAAACCGATTACCCCTAAGAAGTTGAATTCAATGATGTTCCAAGAGTTTCTTGGAGCCTGGCTTTGATCAATCAAGATCCAACCTTCGGAGATAACACACTTGATTTGCAGATATTTGCAGCATGCATTACATAATAGTCTCTCTCGTTCTTGCCCAAGGCCTTGTTTGAACATAGATGGCCTATGCAGGCCCATGCCCTTTGGACACGAGCCCTCAGGATGCTGGTTCTGGACCCTGCACGGCGCATGACCGCTTTTGAGGCCTTGCAAACGCTCAGCTAATTCGCTTCTCACTCACTCATATTCCGCCGGAGCTCCCAAGGAATCGGGTGGGGGTTCTTCTGGATCACATTCTTGGCAGTTTAATGTTGTGTATATTTGTTTGCGCCCTTGGCGCGTCTGACTTGCATTGCCCGAACCAAGGACTACTCCAAAATTGTCTATATAAGTGACAGTGATAACAGTCATTACTTTTCCTGTGTTCTTTTTTTTAAAGATTTGCTGAAGCGCTGCAGTCACCCTCATAGAAAACTCAGGATTGTTCTAGCATGGTTTTATGTTTTTGTTGTTTGTCCGAACTTGCATCTTTGGAGAGAGCTTTGCAGCACCTTCCAAAAGCTTGTGTCAGATCAACACGTCTAGGAGATTTCAAGACTCCCACAACAAATCCTGGATTTCATGACCAGGGATTGAGCCTCGACCACTAAACGACCTGTGCCACTTGAGAATCCTCATCCTTGACTCTAGTTTTTTAGAGCACGTCGTCTGCAGGAAGGTGCAGCCTGTACAGCCTGTACAGCAAAACCTGGAGACATGTCTAATGTTGTGGACTCGTTGGACGAAAAGAAAGGTCGACACATTCCCAACATCGCCCTGACTAGACACAGGGGGCGAAACTCTTGGATCGATGAAGCAAGGTTTCAAATGGGGGCGTGACTGCGTGACCCGTGTTCATCCTGCTTTATTCATCCCACTTTAATGTGCAAAAACATCAGTTGATGGTGAGAACATATATAGGGCAAAGTTGGAAATGGTCAGGCCTTTAGAAACACAGGGGAAAGGAACAACAATGATTGACTAAGCAGTTCTCATCCCCCATGTCCACAGGGACACCAAAATAGAGTCCGGGCTTGTAGTTCTTGTAGGGAACGCAGAGCTTCCAGAGCTAGGACCCCGGCTTTTGTCTTTCGACGCACTGTTTACATGTTTACCGAGAGTTTGTGCAGTGGTTTCACATAGATTCACATGGACTTTGGAAGGGCACTTTGCTACCATCTCAATCCTATCGAACGTACAACTATATTTATGACTCAGACCTTACACCCTTGTCCTCTCAATCGGATTCCATCTGTCCAGGGTTAGTTTGCAGGTCCTTCTCAAACAGCCACCGTAGGGTCGCCCGAAACGTCCGCCCAACGAGTCCAGCCCTGTTTGTCGGTGAGTGCGCCCTATTTGTCGCCACCAATGGAGATTGTCTGAAGCCACGGCAGTGCCACAAAACCAAGTTCAAAGCAAGGGAATCTCACGGTGAAGGTGGATGAGAGTGAAAGAACATGAAAGAACTGCGTGTCATGGTCTGCAAAGTTGATATGTCAAGAAGCTTGAGTTCCCAGCAACGGCTTTTGGCTTTCCCAAGTAAGTGATCAGTGGCACTCATTTCATGCTAGGGCCGCTTGGTGTCCAGTGAATCAACGATGGAACTGTGGAAGGTGGCTTCTGGAACCCTACCCTATACTGTTTGCAGATCGACTGGTCCAAAGCTTTATTCGTCGCGTGGCACGCATTATAATCTCAAAGCCAAAGCTCTCAAACAGTTCGTTAAATTGCTTTGCATGAGGGCTGCGTAGCCAATGGAGGAGATGCCAGTTTAAGACAGACTACACCACCGGTGAACACCACTCACCTGGAACAGTAGGCTTAGGATGGCTTAGGCTGGCTATGGCATTGTTGGGCAGTCTCTTGTAATTGGAGCCAAAGAGAAGCTGGAACTGATATGTAAATGGACACCCAGATGGATAACCATTGCTGGAGCAGTCAAATACACCTCAATCGCAAGTTCAACGCCTGGCACGAACAACCAAAATGACTCATTGGAACAAGACACACAGTATATTTGTACATGGTTTTACTGTTCCAAGACAGCAACAATTTGACAGCTGTTGCGCTCCTTTTTTCATCAGGTCATCGAAATCTGCCCCTCGGTACAGGGTTTTTGCTTTGAAGGATGATCTTTCCAGAAGCCGGCCCTGGGCAGCCGCGTTTCCAGCCCTTGCGTCAGGTTAAAGGCACTTACGGGTCCGTCTCCCAGCCTGGCAGGGCTCCCAGTTGCTTCCTGCTACAGCTGGGACATTGAGTCAGGGGGGGTTGAGTCAGCAGTTGATCGAACCATTGAAACCGGGTTCACGCGTGAACAAGTTCCCACGGTACACTTGGAATATCTTGGAATGTGGGTCAAAACTTGTCGAGTTACCCCGAAAGAACACCCAAGCCTCACGTCCATTTTTTGAGTTCTTTTTTTGATTCTTCCCCTTCTCCGCGTGCGGGTCACAGTCTCCTTCCCGAACCAAACTCTTGGTTCAATCTTTTATCAGCAGCTTAGCAGCTTGGATGTTGGCCAGAAACAGTCTTAAAGAGAAACATTGTAGTTCCTCCGACGTCTTACTCTATATAATATAGGGATGGGTCAAAAGCTGGAGCCCAAACATCACGTAGCGAAAAACATTCCGTAGGTTTTATGCGTTCCCTGCGAGAACAAAGCAGACGCATTGCGAATTATTATCCAATAATTGCAAGGTTTCAGTCCTACACCTTTGTACCCAAAATTTCACAAGACGGCTTCCAACAGCTTGGTTCAAGCCGGGTGGGGACGGACCTATACCGGGGGGAAACCCCCCTACGCCCGGAGATCTCTAATTCTCAGGCAGTTCAAAAGACCCTCCAATTGTATGCAGAAAATTTGGGTACGAACCCCCCTTTTCATCCATTAGGCATGGTAATCATGAACCACGTCAATGTGCTACTAACAACTCAGATGGGGGGGAATTTGGACTATTCCCAATGTTATCACTTTCGAAAGAAGCTTCGTGAACTATGGAACAAAGGATTGGATCTCGATAAATTAGCCCCACCGGCTGCACCCAATTAGATGCTTTCGTCCAACTTACTGTCCTACATGCTGCGCGGATATTCGGTTTCACATAGATAGACAGTCAGTTGGTATTTTGGTGTACAGTGCATGTTTTGTTGGATACGTCCCCTACTCTCTGGTACCCGTCCTATGACGAAGGGCCTAGAGAAGCGCAGACACTCGGAGCGCAAGTCCCGTCGGTATTCCCAGTGCTACCATTTTTGAAAGAAACTTAGGGAGGTCTGGAACAAAGGGGGTGATCTTGACGCTTTGGTTCCACCCATGCCGAAAAATTAGATGCGTAAATTCGTAAATTTCGTTCGAGCTTGATGCCACCTGTTTGCAACGCGGATATTCGGTTTCACTTAGTTAGCGGTATCGTCTTGACGAATTTTTTGGCACGTGCCAATTTAATCCAATTTATGTTCAGATGCGTAGGCACCTGTCCTATGCACTCGGGGAATTTCAACAACTCCCAGGTACCCATCAATACGATAAAGGGCCTTTGGGAAGCGTTCTGGATCGATGCGCAAGTTCCGTCGGTAGGTCAACCAAGGTATCCTGGTGCCATGACCCACAGCCAGATGGCAACCTTCTGCATCTCTCAGGCCGTTGGCTTCACTCATACCGCTGATCTCTTCAACCCTGAGGACGGCAACAGGTGCGCCCAGGTGACTGATTTATCGACGGACACGTGCTGGGTGGTCCAAACCAACTGCTACAAGCCAGCAAACACGTAAGTGTTGACCTTGAGGTCTTTTTGACTCTCGCGTTATCTACAACCTAGACAATGACATGAAGTCTAAGGTGCAAGCAGAACGCAAGCAGAACCCCAAGCAGTTTTTTTGTTATGGATCACCAACTCGTCTCAGCATGTCTTCTCACCAGGTACCACAATCCGCTCTCGCGATCCGTCGGAAGCTGAGACAAAGCGAAAAGGAAACGGACGCGGAATCCGCTCTCGTGAAACCGGAATTCAATTTGTCCGGGACCTGTCGTGCTTGTGGAGTTTTTCTCAATTCGTCCGGCTTTCTTTTGTTTCATCAGGTTCAGCATTAATTAATCAGGGATGATTCATTATGATTCATTATTGTGATCTTCCACGGGGCGTGGTCCATATCCACTCATATTGCAAAACATTGATACTTGAAACCTTGCAGTCAAATCCGCTCCTGGTAAAAGTGGAAGACTTATTCAGACATACATGACACGTCATCCCAGAAGCGGATATAATCCAAGTGCCTCCTTCTGGACTACACCTTGCCATTGCCAAGGGCATCTTCATGGGGTGATGGCAGTGGGGCGGCAGTGGGTTCTGTATGAACATGTAACATACTCCTTTTGGATCCTTTTGGGCCAACGTACAAATTAACATGTTAATAGAGTTTTTCCTATTCAAAGTAGGTGCCCTGTTTTCCTTCCTTTCAAGCTCTCATTTGGACAGCCCCTGACTACCAGTTCATGAGAGTCATCTCGCAAGGCAGAATCTTAGAGTCTAAAAACTTCCTTTTTGGAACTCCTGGTGCCCCACAACCTCCCAGGATCCTTTTAAGAGGGAGGTAGTTCTGGCTTGTCGCTGGCTTTCTAAAAACAACCCCCCCCTTCCACTCTTCATACCTTCCTTCGGACCGGTGCGCTGTCCTAGGCCAGTTCACCCGCCATGGCCACGTTCCAACGGCATGTGGGGGTGCCCCGTTTCGCGGTCATGTCGGTGGAGAGGCGAGGTGTTTGGTCGGTTGGTCGGTGGATTTTGCAGGTCATCCTGACTCGTGATGAAGCAGAGCAGGTTCCTGCAGAGAGTGCAACAAAGATCTCATGCATGTCTTAGGTGGACAGATGGTTTCTGTGTGCTACAAAGTTGGATACGTGCGACGACTAAGAAGTATGAGTGGCAGTAGTACCAAAGAAAAACTCACCGGAGCAGAGCAGTCCTTCAGATGGAGCAGTTCACAGAAGGGTTGGTTGGAGATGTTGCCACAGTTGGCCAGTTTGCTTGTGGCTCCTTGAAGTTCGCGGGGAAGAGATATAGCTTCCCTCTCCGACGCACAATGCTTCACCCCAATCCTGAGACCAATGCTTTGAGCAACTGCACGGCAGTCCTGTGGGGGACCCCGCTGTTCTCGCGCGGGTGGGCGCCCGCGGGTGCTGAATATCGGCTGGTCCAGGTGTGACAAAGATGTCAAGGGTCAGCTAAGCTTGGATGATGAGCAGTGATATACTTGGTATTAACCCAAATGGCTCCAAGGACCTCGTAAGGTAGGATCAAAAAGGAGGCCAACATATCCCACACCTTGAGGGTGAATCATGGGTCTCTCTGGGGTGAATCGTGGACGAAGTATGGTGAGTCGGCTTGTTGCGGTAAAGAGGCCAAATGGTGTGGAAGCTGAAGGTGGAATCAAGCAAGCAAAGAGAGATAATCCACATTGCTTCAGCCAATCCATGGGGCTTTCCATGGACGTTTCCAAGAATCGTGTCCCTTCTCTGATGGTGTGGAGTGCAAGCCACTGGCCTTGAATGCACCTGGGCGTTGTACCATCTTGTGGAGACCTGTCTAAAGAGAACATCCTTTTGCATGTAAGGCATCGTTTAGCACGAAGCAGGTGGCTTCTCGCGCCGAATCCAAAGGCAAGATATATTCAAGCAATCCGTTGATTCGCTTTGAAAGGATCAAACACAACATACTCAACACCACAAATCGACTGACCAATGCTGTTTATAGACTACAGGCGATGTTCTTTTATTTGGGAGAAGCAGGTCTACGGCCGGCAGCCCCACGCATGTTTCGTGATGTTTCGTGGCGTGCCACCTCTCATGGCCGAGGACTGGCGGCCGTGGCTTTGAGAAGAATTGCTACGATCAGGGGACGCAGCCTCTAAGAGGTGGGGACCCAACCGGAGGTCTCGGTGGGTCGACCACCAAGACCCAGACAACACAACACCGGTGATGAGACGGAGCCGAGACAGGGACATGCTTCGGGGTTGGTTTCCGAAGCTCTGGTGGTTGGAGCCCTGAAGTACGGTGGACTGGGACGATCGGATCGGTGGCAGCACCTGAGATGGATGAGTCCACTTATGGTGCTCCCTGAAGTTACAGGATTTTCTTGGTTCCAGTTGGTGGGAATTCCACAGACAGGGACTGGATTGCCATGAACATTAGCACATAAAAACCCCACTTTGGGCCATCCATTCGGGAATTTTCGACTCAACCACGGTTTCACCGGTTAACCCCCCGGCCCTGAGCCGCCTGAGCGACAGACAATCTAAGGACACACACACATTGATGTCACGAATGAACGTCAGGAGAGCGCTTGCTGGACCAGTGCGTCCGGTCCTGCGAGATTGGCCGACGCTTTTTCTACAAAGCTGGAAGCAAGTCATCCAACCTCCAGCCAGTCTTCAAAGTTTGGCCACCACCCACCTGAACAACCACAGTTTTGAGATTCAATTCTTGCTGGTTGTATAGTCAATATTAGTCAATACATGTCATGATATGTCGTGGTCAAGAGTCAAAGCATAAAAATCCACATTCTGGCCACGAGGGTTCCCCTTCAAAGCCCTTGGGTAATGTGGCCCCAAACAGATTGACGAAGACTTTTCATCCCACAAATGGGCACTCCAGTGGAATCTTGATCATTATCATATGTATATATGTATGCTTTTCTAGAGGTACCTCGATTGTTGCGGATCATACCTCAGTCAGCACTACTGGCATCTTCAATCCACAGGAATAGCCTACATTCTATGACTTTCCGTGCAGCAACTTCGGCTTGAAATTCTTTCCGCACAAAAAAAACACCATCGATATCTTCATCGTTATGCAAACCAGGCACGCATCTTCCAGGATATCAAGGTTATGTGCCCGGGTACCCGGAGATCAAGGTTGTACCGGCCTAGAGTTGAGACATATGTATCCCTGGAGGATAGGGATTCTTGGATTTAGTTGTTGTTTTTATGAAAAAAAATATGAAAAACTATGAAATTGACAATGTAGAAAAATATGGTTGTTTATATGTTTATGACAAATATGAACATAATATGAACAAAATATGAAAGTAATATGAAAATAGAGAAAAATATGAAAATAATACAAAAAACATATGTTGTTCATATTTTTCTTGTATTCTCCGAAAGTTGGTTTTCTCATTTCATATTTCAGGAATTCATCAGATTCATATTTTTTTCAGAAAATAGACTGTTTTTCGATCCATGGCAAGCTCCAGGGTAACTGTGTCTCAAGCCTAGAGCGGAAACGGCCCGATGGTGGACAGCTGATTGTTCGGTGTGGAAACACGTGCTTGAGACGGCAGCAGAGAAGTGTGGTGAAGAATGACATGTCTGTTCTGCCTGTATTTGCTGATGTTTGATTCTGGGAAACAGCTTGACGAATTCATCACCCGAAAACTCTACAGCTGGTGGGCAGAACCTGCCTGTGTGCAGTAGTCTGTGTCTGTTCTGTGTGAGGCAAAGGGTAAGTAGTAAGCACAGACGCACGTATACTGACGTGTTGAGTACGGCCAGCTGGGATACTTGTGCCTGTTTGTAAAAGAAACACTCCATTTTGAAGTTGTTTGGCTGCTGGAGGAATTGATGAAGGAGTTTAGTCGGAAGGATTTTGAAGAGCCAAGGTAGGTAGACTGTTAGAGCCCTCATCAAGTAACCCATCAAAGGTTTGCTCGCACGACATCGTTTCAAGATGCCTTCCTCTCAGGCCGGGCTTCAGTACGAACAACCTGGTCGGGACGCCATTTTTTGTTGCAGCCGTGCACGGCACCGTACGCGGCCGTTCGCGTTGGGTGGGCAGTCCAATTCCTTGTGTGTCTTGTTATTTCAAGCACATTGATGACCCAAACGCACATCAAAACCAGTCTTCTCAGTCACCCAGGACCATTTGCTGCAGGTTTCATAGCATCCACCCTCGATCCTTGAGTCGTAGGCAGTGACAGTGAGGTCATCTAATAATATCTAATATATAGGAGGGAAATGATTCTTTTGATAACTGCTTCCATGGACATATGCATTGGTGGCCATAGGCCCCAGCCATTCCTTTTGTTGGTGGAACGCCCCCGCCCCTGCCTGCAAGGACAAGGGTGTTCTATCCAATGACAATGAGAATGCTTTTAGCCACACGAACTTGAACTTCCCCAAGCTTTGAGGGTTACACGTGTCGCAGCTTCTTCAACGACGCCGCCCCTGAGCCGCCGGCCAGTCGCTGGGCAAATGCTTTAGCCCAGCCACCACGGTGCCTTAGCGTGGGTTACGCCGATCTGGGTGTGGCAGTGAGATCATTCTGTGAAGTCACAGGTTTTTCGCTTCAGGATGGTTCAGAGGATCCTCCTAGACATTTCTGCATGGCAAACCCAGAGAATTCCAAGCGTGGATTGCCATGGAACACATGGAATAATTCGACGTCAGTGGCACATCTCAGGTGAGCAAACAGGGTAGGTTTTCCCGAGGGTGTCCTGTCCTGTCCATTGAGGCTTTGGGCCGTTTCCGAGATGGCGTTCAGGTGGGAGAAATGGTTTTAGCCCGTGCTTGTGGGCGGTACAGAGATTTCCAAATGGATGCGATGTGAAGCATTCCAGTTCATGTTGAAAAGGGTTTGCACGATGTGACATTTGCAGGTTACTCATTTGCAACTTCGGACGTGGAACAAGGTAAAGTATGTTCAGGGTAGCAAGAGTCAGATCCAATTCATGGTTCAGGTGGGGACGGAATTGTATAATATTTGAAGGCTACCCAGCTACCCAGCAAGACACGTTATTAAATGAATATGAAAGATTTATTTCACATATGGCTGCAACATGCTGCAACTTCATTATACAGTATCAATTTGTATGTTCAAGACATGTTGCACCACAAACGTACGGATTGATAGTCCCAAAAGTGGATTTCTCAGCCTGTATAAACCGGTAGTTACAATCCCCAGAACCCTGCTTGCTAGGGCCACTCTTCTCGCCAGGGAGTCGGGTTTATATGGACTTAACATGCTAAAGACTAGGCTTCCTTTGACCGATCGGAAGTAATGACCAGCTTCTAACTATGTCCCGATGAATGCCAATGAACCTTTGGCCGAAGCTGCCAAAAAAGGCACCATCATCTTTCCAACGAAACACCCGAGATGCCAACATGAAAGACTCTCATGGTACGTTCCGGAATACAGGGTACGTTCCACCCAGTAGTTTGGACACTCATACAGGATTGTCACCCGGTTTCCCTTGAATGTCAGCATTTGGCCTTTGCCATCCCGCCACGACCATCAGGGTTTGCCAAGACCGATGCCATTTATGCACTCCTGAGCTAGGTTTTCTGGCTGTTTCACTGCGACACCAAACGGTGGACAGTTCTTGCGTTCCGCATGCGAACGGTGGGCCATGTTTGATGCATTGGCCAACCACAGCTTGCTGCGATTTCGTCACTCGTGCTTTAAAAGAATAAGAACTGATGGACTCTGAAAAGTATAAATCAGTATGAAAAAAACGAGATTAGCAAAGAAAAGCGAATTAACATGAAGAAGCAAATCACTTTGCTTTTATGTATTTGCATTGTTTTTTTGGGGCCGTTTTTCATGCTAAGTGCACCTTCGGGTACGCCAGTGGTACTTGCCAGGTTGGAGGCCATCGCTAGTAGGTTGGAGGCCATCGCTAATGTGGATATAGAGATATGGAAAGGGGTGCGAATTGATATTTCCCATGTCGCCAAGTCCAGTGGTCACAATTTCCACATCTCAGAATTCTTAAAGCCGACGGGTAAATCGTTTGATCTTGCACCTCGAACTTTCCAAGGCCCTTCTTCTCGCACTTTTTGCGCCTCTGGCCCTTCTCCTTGGAAAGACTCCAGTTGATGCTGAGAATTCACAGGTTTGCCATAGAGCATTTAGGCTCAAGCTGCCTCTGCCTTGGCGCGCGAAACCATGACCTTCCTGACTTTCCAGTGGGAGCAGGTGGGCTGTGACTCGAAGCTGCATGGAGTGCATGCCTTTGGAACCTACTGGCCAACCAACTAGGTAACAAGGTCCATGTTTATTTTCATGGCCTCAGATGTGAAGCTGCAGGATTGGATGAGGGCAAAGCCCACGCCTCAGGGCTTTTCGATCTTCATCACGTTTCAATCATTCAATCGGCATGAAACAACGCACTTTGGATTTCCCGTTTTCTTGAAAGATATTATCTCTTTCTGAAGAGTCTCTCCCCAGTTAAACTAGCAAGATGTTGTCAACATAAGCCATGGAAAACACACCAGTTCCAAGTTTCTATATGTTTCGCTCTTATTTCTGATCTGATCTACCGGTGTTTTTTGAGTGATGGAGATGCCCAAGTCATTGGGCCTTTCCGCGCTGCTCGCAGAGGCCATCCACCCGTGGTGGAAACGCCCGTCAGTGGCGCGGTTGCAGTGACTGGCCGCTGTGCGGGGGCATTTCAAAAGCAGTGTTGTTTCAATTGAACTACACTCCGACTCACTAACATGGAAGTGGAAAACCCACTGTTTGTAGAGGAAAGTAGTCTTCCAACTATGTAGACTGATAAAACTAAACTCTCATATGAAGAGGCTTTTCAATCCATATTCTGGCGGGGTTCTATTAATCAACAGTCTACATTATATAAGGGGTGTTGCAAGACTTGTTTTTAAGGCCAAGAGCCAGGGCAAGCTCAATTTGTGAGTGTTCTTCTTGACACCATTGCACTTCTTGGACTTCGTTCAACCAATGCTGAGGCGCGCACGGCGGTCTCAACCACCCCGATGCCGCATACTTCAGGCGGATTTGGAGATATTTGGAGACGTTGTCGACAATTGCATACCCAACTTTTCATGAACTTTGTTCTTATGAGGTCAGCTCTTGCTCAGATTGCATCAGAACTTCCTGACTTGCAACATTTGCGTGGCGCATGGTGCATAATTAGGGCACTTTGGTATGTGTTTGACTCCTGGACTTGCCGGGAGTTTGCCACGTGCCAAAGGTTCGAGCTCGGTTCGGGAGTTTGCCGGAAGCAGCTCGGCAGATAGTTCAGACTCCAGGCAAGTCAGAAGGCTTCACTCCTGGCGCCTGACCCAAGCGAAGAAGGCCTCTGGTTTGTTTACACTGCGCCGAAGCTGCTACGAACAAGAGCACTTCCTTTCACCTGCAAAGCTTTCTGAATTGCGCGTTGCTGTACTGTAAAGGGTAGTTCAGGCCTCGCATTTGGAAAGGAACTTCATGGAACTTCCATCCCTTGAGACTACTTGAGACATTGAGGTGACAGAGGATGTGCTCCCAGCGCGTTTGGTCGAGGACTCATGTTGGTCGGGTGTTGGTTTGTGCCGTGTGCAGCGCCAAATCTTCTTTTTTGTTGTGCAAAGAGCGCCAAATCCTGATCCACCCTCACAGTTTGGTCTAGACCTTTCTTCACCTCTCAACGGTCATGTCGCTTCAATCGCTTCTTCTCAACCCATGCCACTGGTTTTCAATCCACCTACCCCATGACTGGTATTTGGCCGACATGTCCCAAGGGTTGTCTGAGGTCCATTTGCAGTTGATTCATGTGCCATCGCAGTACTTGTGTTCTGATACCACGTATTGCGCCACCGGTTTCGCTAAGTTTCTAGAACAAGGCCAGGTTTTATTTCATCTGACGTGCCTTTCACGTCACCTTCGAACACATGCGAACACTGGCCTTAATTTATATTGTTTGTTGCGCTTGTCATTATCATATATATAAGTGTTTTTGTTCTGTGTTTTTCCTTTAAGTGCAGACACAACCTGTGACACCTCGCAAGATGGAGTGTGACCTGGTGGGTGATCAGAACATCATAAAAACGGGGGCTGGAATGTCCGCTCCCTTATCGGGACGACAGTGGCTTCCCTACAAAGGCAGCGTCGGTTCAGTGCCAAGGATGATGTCAAAGGAGATGACAATGGGCATCTCAATGGAATTTTTCCTTTGAAACCTCTTGGGTGGAACTAAGTAGGGCAAACCGAAGACACCTCATATCCACCCTTGAACCAGTGAAATCATTTTGAGAAGGGCAAGCTGTGCATTTCCTCGGCAGTTTGGAGACCTTTTAATTAATGGGTGATGTGACATGTAGATGACCTGTGCCAGAGTTTCGATGTTCTATCCAATCAACCCCTGGTATCAAAACCGTCAATCAGACAACTTCAACTTCATTTGGCTGAGCCGACCACGCAAGGCTCCCCCAACGTAGAGCAAGGCAACGGCGGCGATAACGTCAAACCTCTTGGCGAATCAATCACATTCAATCACAACATATTGAATATATCAGAGGATGTTTATTTTTTCCAAAGAAACAGTCTTGGGGATTGAGTCGAACGTTCTGAAGGGGAACCCATCAGTAGGGCAGTACAGTTATGAGTAATGATTCATGATGGTGGTTGGTTTGTCGGTCAGGTGTTTTGCTTCTTGGGAGGTCGGTGGACGAAAACTCCCCCAGTACGAGGGTTGATCGGCACACCGATCGGTTTGCAACATAGGCTTCGCTAGTTCGAACTTGCTTCTGTATGCTATGTGTTTTTGAGAACGCAATATATTTTTGGTACTGGGATGAGTGTGATGGTTGTTACATGTTGCTACTATGGATATTGAGCAGCAAAGAACATGGATACGAATTGATAGCACTTTTTTGATGGAAATACTGAAAACACGGAATAGTAGGCATATCATGACGTCTGAAAAGAACAAAGGAAAGTAAAAGAAAAGCATCAGAGCCCACTGCAACAAATACTTAGTTATTTCCTTAATATCTCATCACTTGTCACTTGCATGCTCAAAGCTTGGCTCTGACCCAGCCAATTTTATGCTTGACCACTCACAATCGGGCACCATAGTGATGGCCCTGCTTTTTGTAATTGGAGAAACCAGGGAGAACCACGGCCAAAAAATGACACATCTCTGCTCTGGTGGGTCTGTCGACATATGTCATAAGGTTTTCCAAACCATGTTCACACCGAAGTCTTGAATCTACTGTGATGTGGCCGTAGGTCAAAGGCTCCACAGCCCTCAACTGCAGGTTGGCAGACCTGACTAGAATGACTCGAAAAACACACCACTGGCCGCCACAGAGGCCTTCATGGAAAACTGGCCATCTCAGCCACCTCTCACGATCTATGTTTCTTTCTTACTTGGCATTTTGCAAGCTTGTGAGGAGTTCTCCTCGGCCACCTGCATGCAGCGGAGGCCTGGGCGAGATAGACTTGTCCGTAGATCGATGGACAACAATCTTCCACTGCAGGTAGCTCTTCATCTTTGACTTAACTTTTTCTCAGCTCGAGCAGCACAAGTGACTGAGTATGTCAGGGGTTTGATTTGCTCGTCCTTGTGCGATTTGTTTACCTCAGAAAAAGTCCGAGTTATGCAAACGAGGACCTCACGCGCGTGCGTGTCGGTGGATACGCATGCACGTACGGAACGCCGAGGAATGGTTGATGTGCGAAAAGCGGTCGTGCGGCAGCGTTGTCGCAGGTCCCTGCACAACCCTACACATGTTTTGGGCTAAAAGCGTGACGTGGTTGGACGGATTCGACCAGTAATGGAATCGCAGGAGCGAGGTGAGTGTGTGTGTGTGTTTGAGTTTGTCTGCTGGGCTGTTTTTTAGACTTGCACTTGTTTCGGGGGCTGTGGAATTCAGTAATTTAACTATAAACGTACAGTGAAATGACAAGAAGCACAAGTAACTAGCTATAAGGGTGTATCTCCAGGAAAGCAAGATTGGTACCAGATTCTCGAGAGCAGCGGGTCGAGATTTTTCGAGAGCGCAGTGCATTCCACAGAGGTCGAGAACCGTGGAGTTTGTGGAAGTGAGCCGCTAAATTAGAAATTAATGGATATATTTGGTGTGCGTTTTGTTCTTGAGTTATTCCTTTCTCGTCCCCTTTCCCCTTTCAGAACTTGCCTATGTCCTCTCTTCTTAGTGTCGCTCTCCTTTTTCTCAATTGATCCGTATGACTTCTCAATGTCACTCTCCTTGTCTTTGTTCTTTGTGGTGAGTGCAAGCGAACACTCCAAAACTCTTGCAAGCGGACACTCCCCTGGTGTTGCATACGTTGTCAAACATTGCTTTGTCAAACATTCATGTTTGTGCCGGTTGCTAGCAACACTTGAGGTTGACTTTGAAGGGGCAACATGTATATATATATATATATCAGACTCTTGTTGGAGGTGCAGTGATAAAACTATACTGAAGCAAACACAACATCATTCGATTATTAAGACGATAACCTAGATAAACAACTAACTGTCAACTCTGGTTTTGCACTCTATACAGGTTTTTGACCTACTGACTCTACTGTAAGCCAATCTATAGGGTATGTTATCGCTCATGTTCCGTCTTCCTCAAACGGGATGCGCCTGGCGCATGGCGTTCAGATGCGAAAAGGCATGAAAAGGCCAAGAGGCACTCAACGGACTACCTCAGTGGCGCAGTGTATGGCATGTGCATGAGGCACCTTTCACCTTAAGCACATTGGAAACAATCACGGAATCAACAGCTTGGCAGGAATATGACGACGCATTAAACCTTCCCAATGCGCATTACTCTCAGTCTTTCCTATGAGTTTTGCTTGAAGCTTGCGCCCTCGACGCCCTGTGGAGACGACCTGGTGGAAAAACCACGACGAACGTTGTGACATGTTTTGCAATGGAATGCATGAGATCACCAGCTCAACGCTCAACGACTTCCTATTTGGGGCACGGCTGTGCTCACCCAATCATCTTCGTAGATGCCCTGAAGCTTCTGCAGGCGTGCTTACGCCTTGCTGCCGCAGGTGGGGCTTGGGCTTGAACGTGCCAGGGCCCGCACGGAATATGTTTTGCCTGGGGTAGGGCTTGTCAATTTGTTTGCCAAAGCAACAAGAACATGAAACAACATGGGTGCCACAATTTGCAGGATCGCAGAGATGTAAACCTTCCCAACAAGAAGAGGGGCAGGGCAGGAGGGAGAGAGTAGCTCTGCAGGTGAAGGAGCCGGAGGAGGAAGAGGCTGGGATCGTGATGTTTGGGGAGGACTCACTCAACATCCACTGTGAAAAAAGAGCGTAGGATTGAGAGTGATTAAACTCATGTACCGTTTCCTCACGCGCTCATCTGCGCCCTGCTACCAGCCACACGCCGCACTGGGCCGCACTGGGCTTCTCCTTCGGCTCTCCGGGTTTCTTCGCGTGGTAGGTTGAGCTGGACGCAGGAGGCTGCTCCTTTGGCAAGGTTCGTGGGCGGTGAGGTTTTTGTTTGGACAAAAGGGCGGCAAACCCAAAGCCAGAGGGATGGCCTGCAATTCTCAGATCGTGTTTAGTGTTGCAAGTTCGAGACATCCACCTGTCAGTGGATTTGTTCGCCTCTTTTAAAAAGAACAGCCTGCAAATCCAATGCTCAGAAGTTTCTAAGCTTCCTGTTCCTTTGCTTCGCGGGTCAAAGACTCATGGTCAGTTGGAGGACATCAACATCACTCACTTTTGTTCCACGGGGTTCTTATTTCCTTTCTTCAGCGCCCTCTTTGACTTTGCAAGCGATCGAAAACTGTAGGTGAAGTAGTTGGCAGGACCAGAGCCGGTCTTTGGCACGTCGACCCTGTCGCATGTCCAAAGGCCAAAGGACAGCTGAATGCGGACAGTTGGGAGCCGAGTGAAATCCTTGACCAACTCATAGAGTCCTAGAGATGCCCCACTCCCCAGCAGCCGAGGCTTCTTCCACTCCGCTCACAGCGTAGGGGTGCGAGTCTCAGTTGAACGGTATGATCAAGGTAACGGTTGCAGTAACCTTCACTATGAAAGGTTTCATGGAAATTCCATGGGATGGATCACTTTCACTTTATAGAGAGCTAGGCGCGCCAAACTCAAGGTGTCGACGTGCTATGATCGTTGGCCCTTCTGCCCTTCTCCACTCGTTAGACGTGCCATGTCGTATTTAGCCTAAAAGGGCCCCATTCAAGCACTAGACCCAAAGCGAATTGCCAAGATGACTGCCTGCTGCCTGAGGCCGCTGATGGCGTGTCGCAGTGGTTGCGCTTCGGTCCGAGCACTCAGAATTATGCCTTCCCTTCACCGTGAGGATTTGGTGCTCAAAGGCCTGCTCTAGTTACTCTAGACGTGGATCCGCATCAGGGTTTGTCCAGGGTTTTAACTCCCAAGCAGGGTTTCGAAGAAATCCGACCATGAGAGGACCAGGACGAGATGCGTCAGGAACCGGTGTGGGCATCTCTGTCGGCTACCAATTTTGGGGCTGTTTATATATCAATTTTGATGCCATCAAGTCCTTGGAAGTGCTAGGCATCAACTGCCGCGCCTTCAGCGATGAGCTCATGCAGGGGTGCCAGGACTTTGGCTGAACATGGGCGGCCATGCTTGGAGGTCTAAACTCATGTCCAAACCACCCGAAACCCATCTAAACCCATCCTCAAATTGAAAAACACAGGTCGAAAGATCGCGTTCTCACCAAACATGAAAAACATGTGTCAAGGAGCAGGCATCGTTGTGTAAAGCCTCGACTTTAACACATCGAGGCGGACCCGGTCACCTCCGGTGGAGTTGGACCCGACCTGTTGGACCTAGGAACTCACCGGAGTAGAGGTAAGCCATGTCTCGCTTGCAGACTTGGGAGAGGCTGGGAGATTCTTGGAGTGAAGAGCAGATGAAAACATGTCTGGTTTAGATGTTTAAAGCTTTTCACCCAAGGGCAGGGTGCCTTTCTGCTTACTTGGTTGGATAGACTTAAAGTGGTAGGGGAACCGCGTGACCATAAGCGCAAACACAGAGTGGACGACCTTTTCGCACCTGGGAAGGTTGGGCCACAATGGGCTCCGGACGATCACTCATGTACAAATGAACACGTGGCGGGGTCAAGATTCATTTGACTCACCCGCCGCCCCCCTTTCAACCTTCAGGCGACTCTTGTACGCCTTCTGGTTCACGCGCTGCTGGGCACGAACTTGTTGCCAGGACTCGTCTTCGACGATGGTCCATTGACCAGAGGCTAAGATAGCCAACAGCACGTTGTTGCCTTTAAATTTTGTGAGAGAGTCTGACGCCTGCTGCTGTCCTGGAATCCACCTGCAAAATGAGGCGGTGGATGGATCAGCAAGAGATTCACGGAGAGCTCGAATGTCAAGAGCTGTCCGTCTATCCTGAGGTAACTCTTCACTTGTCAGGCAATCGTATGCCACTTTGGCATCTAAAATTAAAAGGATGGGGCACTGACAGATATGGTCAAACCATCTACGCATCACGAAGCTGGGATCCCTCACTTCACACAGCACGGCCCTCAAGAACTCAGCGTGCTCATACCCGAGTGATGCTGCAGCTGCTTCAATTGCCGCCGAGCTCCGAACTACTCTTTTGCAAGAGGTGCTACACCATTCAACTGGTGCTACTCGACTCACTTGTGATTGCACCAGCGGATTAGCCAGCATCAAAAACAATCCAAGTTGAGATTTGCCTCGCGGCATCGCAGCGAGGGCCCCATCGGTTGCTACAAGCACCATGATCTCGTCGATCGAACACTCCAAGCCCTTGACATACATGAAATGTTCTTGCTTGGCCTTGGCTATGGTCGTGTTGGCCAGCCGCAATGTGCTTCCGGTGGCATCCACAAGACTCTGCTGCAAGTACGAGATGGGAAATGCCAAATCAGGTCGTCCTTGCTTGGCCAACCAGCCAAGTTGGCCAACCAGGGCTCTCAATTGCATTGCCTGTTGCGGGTCAACAGGCTCTTCATCAGCCATATTCACATCGAACTTGATCTCCTGAAGACTCTGGCAGTAAGTATTCATGTCCAAGGAAACTGAGTGACGGTCTTCACTCTGACGCATCACTCTCCCAAGAAACTTGCCACCCTCCTTCAGGTCGGTCCAACTGCCAAACTTCAGCTTCTGCTGCAATACGCTCCAGTCATGTTCAACTTCGGGTCCACCCGCCAACAAAGCATCGTCTACATGTAGGGTGATCAACCCCACTAGCTTGCCGTTGATGTGCTTCATGAACAAACATGGAATCAATTTCGACTCCCTGAATCCTATGCTTTCAAGGGTCTCCCGAAATCGAAGATACCAGAGTCTAGGGCTTTCGCTAAGGCCAAAAATTCCCTTTGTTGCTTCAAAAATATCTCCGCGATTTTCAGAGCCAAGGCGCCATTTCAGGTAATCCAACACTTCTTGAGGACATCCTGACGGCACACGAATGTACAAGGGTTCGGCACGAGGCAGGGCCAGGCCCTGCAAGAAAGCCGCTGTCACATCGGCAATGTTGATGCGCCAACCTAATGTTGTCGCAATGCAAAGCAAGAGAGCATGAGCAATAGCTAATGCAGTTGGACTGGCAGCTTCATATCGACCCAAATCTGGGTCTCGATGTCCCCCGACGCAAAGGCGCCCCTTTGGTTCAAAGCCTTGTGTCAGCTGTTTCTGGTTCACGATGACCATTCTGGAATGGATGATGCGATCCTTGGGAACAACCACTCCTAGTTTCACCGGTCGAATGGCCTCATGGTCAAAATGAATGGCCAAGGCCTTCACCAAAGCAGGAATTGTCAATCTCAACTCTGCTGCTGTCACGTCCTTGCAGTATATCTCATTGCGTGCCCCAGGTGAGGGACCATTGTTGTGTCCCCTTTCCAGCAGACACAGGGAAAGCTCATGCGTCCTGGTCTCTTCATCGAAGCCTTGCTCCAAAAGTTCAAAGCGATTCTGGCGAGCTTGCTGATCCGCTTGGAGACGTCCTTCTTCATCTTTCGGCAAGGAACAAACGGCGGCCTCCAAGGACCAAACGGCTAACGCCCAAGATGGCGCCCATGTCACTACCCCATTCTCGAAAGTCTCAAAACCACGATCAGCTCGATCTGGGGCCGAGCTACCAAAATCCCTCTTTGACAGCTTACGCAGTTCAACTTCTGGACTGGGCATGGTTTCTTCCCTTCTCTTCTCTTTACGAAGTCGCTCAAGTCCCTCTGGAAGAAGGTCAGCAGCTTGGCGGAGGACACTCTCGTACCTGGCACGTTCAAGCTCAGATATGGCATCAAAGGACACGTTGAGCTTCTTGGCTAGTGCATCCCAGTCTTGCAACTGGGCCCCCCCTTCAAAGAATTCTACCTTCTGTCGAACGGGAGCATGAGTCAAACTGTCTGGGACATCATGTGTCTCACTCGGTCGACTGATTGGCTCGCTCGATGCGGCTGCTTGTGACAAGGGATTATGCTCTGGCTCTTTAGTCGACCCTACTCGAGACTTCTTCATGACATGTCCGTCCAACTTATCTGCAGCCAGCCTTGAACGTTCAATCTGCTCTTGCACGGCTGGAGTCTGATCTGCCTCAGGAATGCTTAGAGATGGTACTACAGGAGGAGGATTAGTCACATCTAGACCTTCCGCCTGTGGCAATGGCCCTGTATGGGCGGTGTCTCCAACTGGCCTACCTTGCTGCATAGAGGGGTCTCGATTATTAGACTCGGGGCCGGCGATTGGGTCAACCGGTGTCGACGTTGGCTCAAGCACCTGAGACTCCTGTGAGACCATGGGCAACGGATCATGATGTTGGCTTCTGCTTACCTCTACTTCTTCGGTGATGTCTTCATACCCGGACGGACGAGATTCACCAGTGAGCTCTTGTTGCATGTCCTTAAGAACATCTGTTATGTACTGCGAATCTAATGTTTCTTCCGGCGTCGCTAGACGCACGTTCTCCAAAGCGACACGAACGACACTTCCCTTGAAGCGGAGCCATACCTTATCGGCACCTTCAGTAGCCGCTACGACTGCGGGTCCCAACTGGCCTGTAGCATTGTCTTGCAGGCGTCGATGCTGACCAGGAGGTTTGTGAAAGTACACTTGAGTTCCTGGCGTCAGGGACACGAGTCGAGGGGGTCGAGAACGGGCGCTAAGTGCAACACGAAGGCGTTCATGGCTATCTAGCCAGTGGAATGCTGAGATTGCTGCACATCGCATCTGTTCTATCCTATTCAACTCATCATCATGTGTTATGCAGTGGTTGGTGGCCATCCTGACCTCACCGTCGGCGACTTGTTGCATCAAGGACGAGGGCACCGTCACGTCGCGACCCTGGACCACCTGCAGCGGGGACTTCCCACACTTCCGAAGCAGGCGGTTCTTTGCTTGACAACACATGGCCACAGCAAGTCGCAACTCCTGTTCTTTAGTGATGCTCAGTTCATGAATGACACGCAACACCATCAACTTCAACACTGCACCGTGACGCTCGACCAGACCTGCTTTGTACTTAGCTGATGTTGGCAAGACAGACAATCGGATATCATATAGCTTACACATGGTCTCGAATGATCCCCGGAATTCAGAGCCTCCATCAACAAGCACCATATCCATCGGGCCATGGGTCAAGATCCACCGTTCGAATAGCAGCTCGGTGCTGCTGGCACTGTTGGGATTCTTGCTCACGATGCCGTATTGCAGGGTGCAAAATCCATCGATGATGTGAGTGACATTCCAACGTGAACCTGCACTGTCCAAGACAAAAAAACTATCTAAAGCGCACTGTTCATTGAAACGGTTCGGTGCTTTGGCTGATGCTTGAGGTGACGATCGCGGCGCCGAAATGCGTTCACAAATGCTGCACCTAAGGTTCTTGGCTCCCTCAATGATAGCTTTGTGAGCACCGTTGATTTGGAGCATACGGGCCAAGCGTTCGTTGCTAGGGTGACTAAACTGTCCGTGAAGCTTCGAAAGCTGGTTACGAACCTCTTTGGGCAGTCGAATTGAGGGGCCGACGAAGCGCACATACCCATATCGAGAACCAATCCCCCCAAAGTCACCCTTCCGTTCGTCCTCTTGTTGTTGCAGCCTTTTGAACTCTTGTCGAATGGCTACTTCTGAAAGAACCTCAGGGTCTCCGATCACATGTTGGCTAGGTGCTTCACTTTCAGCAACACATGAAAGGTGCCCGTCAACCTGGTCGTTGTCAACCATATGGCCATCTCCTACCAAATCACACCCTTTTGCGTGGTGTGTGAAACACTGCTCACACAGAGATATCAGGCAATGCGAACAATGTCCCGTCACCGGGCGACACGCAGAACACGATGTGCACATGACATGTCCTAGCTCATTCACCAAAGCGGACCAATCTAGATCACCCTCCTGAACAAACCATGTGTTTCGAGCAGGCATAGAGGTATCATGATACTCGAGGGCAGCTTCAGCGGCCTGGAGAATGTGTGCACACAGGGGCTGCGGCCACAACCCAGCGATCAGCGATCGGTTGACCCACTTCCCTTCCACTAATGTTCCTCCTTCAACAACTTGGTGGTCAGAACGAGCATGCATGCACTGAGCCCCCTGTTCCAAATAAAAGGCAAACACGGCTGAGTTGCAGTCGAGTGCAGTCCGTTTTCTCATAGGCTTGCCATTGTTCGGATCGGCCAATCCAAAGGCGCATTGGTCTATCAATGCTCGATGCAAATGCGGTCGAGTGGCCATAACCCTGAGTTCTAGAGCCTTACTTAACCATGGTTGCTCTGTCATGCACAACTTGCCCCTGGCTGTTTGTGAATCCCACACCCTACGAGTGAAGTTCCAAAGATGGAAGGCCATCAACCGCTTCCAAGCAACAACCTCCGGGTCGTTTATAGCCTGCAAGCTACTCCAGGGACCGCATGGGGGTGTCACGATCACAAGATCAGGATCAAGGGACTCAAGTTGTTTCAAGACCAGGTCTTGTTCGGCCTTTTGATGCAAATCAGATCCACACAACAGGTCAACTGGTTCATATGCTATCCATGCCGATCCCTGAGCGGCATGCACTGAGACTGAGGTTCCAAACACCTCAATCAAGCAAAATTGGCGCTCAGGCTGCTCAGAAGACGAAATGGCTTGCAGCGCTGCTTGGCACTCTAAGGCATACGAGATGCCTTTCTTCAACCGTTGCATGTGGCCCCGCTGGAAGGCTTGTTTCAACGAAACATGGGTGGACCCTTCGGACCGCGGATGGTCTTGACGCACGATCCGACATGGCCCCACACGGCTGCTAGCTCTGTCGCGAACAGGCCCGACAACCATCGAGGATGCCTCTTCCAATGCATGCCGTGGGCTTCCATGGCCTCGCGGAAGCGGAGCTGCAGGACCAGTACCTTCCATTTGTGAGTGACCATTCGTTGATGGAAGACCCAACTGGCATTCATGCACGGATCCCACGATTTTGTCATGCCGATCAGTGGAAATGGGGCTAGCTCCCCTGTCGTGGCCGCTTGCTGATCGGCCTTGGAGCGGGTCTTGGAAGTGTACTTGGTCGGCTTGTCTTCGGTCGGGTAGCCAGCTGCTGCCTTGGCCTTTGGCTTGGGTTTGGCAGCGACCTTCCTCCGGGTTGAGGTCATGGATGCATCCTCCTCCGCCTCCCAATCCTCGTCGCCCCAATCCGGCACATCCGCATGGATCGGCGACAGCAGCAGGCTGGCCTCCGAGGCCACCTCCGAGTGAATCTGGATGCTCTCGGGAGCTGCGTGACTCGAGGAACGCCCGCGGCTCGGAGTCGGGCGGCGGCGGCTCGAGTGTTCCATGATCAATGCACGAACCAGGCACTTGGGCGCTAGCTACGAGGGCTTGGCGACGCAAGCGAGACTTCGACCCTTTCCCTACAGCCTGGCCGCAGCGGATCTCAAACATGCGGATGTCTTCTGAGTCAATCTTCGGCTTCCGACCACCCTCAAGCAAGGTCTGCCACGACGGGTTACGAGGAAAGAAGTCATTAATCCTTAATAAGTAATGCCCCTCCCCGGAAACTAGCAATGTGCATTTACGCTCCCCCAGACGACGGATCTCGCACAGGTTAGCTTCACAGTCGATGCACATGCCGAGACCGTTGCAGACTGCTTTGCTCAACAGTGGTGGACAAGGAAAATCAATCATGTTGACTGCCAGCAACCCCACATGACCTTTGATGGCGACTTCAAGATGGACACGATATCGGGACAAACGTCGCACCCCATCTCCGAAGCGAAACCAATCGGCTGTTCGTTCGACCTTGACATACTTATTCAACTGCTTACGAATGGCTACTTCACGTTCAACCCAGGCCCGGCCAGCGACGGAGCGAACGCAACCGATGTCCACAATCATCACCCCTTCATAATCCCCAATGCGGGGTTGTGCAATGAGAGTATCTAACCCAAAAGGAATATGGTGTGTATCTGATGGGGTGATGTCCAACCCGCCCTCACACACAGCAGTCATGTATGCTCCATGGGCGGACGACTTGCTGGGTCCATCCAACAGGCTCTCTAAGACAGTGGACAGGGCTGCTCGATCTGATGTGGCAGGTCCTGGGCCTTGTCTCTTTGGTCGTTCTACAAAACTCTCCAACACGGCTGACATAGCCGCATGTGTCGGAGTGGCTTTCGTGGCTAGGCCTACACTAGGCGGCTGCTCAGGGACAGAAGCGGTGTCTGTCGGCGCTGAGGCCACATTGGCACTTGAGGTCGGCTTGGATTGATTCCGAGGGCATTCAGGGTCACGGCTCCAGTGGCCATAGCCTCCACAACCACGACATGGGTTCTCGGCCATCAGCTTCTGAAGACGCTGCTTGGCAGCTGAGTCACCATGGGCATTTTGTTCGGTCTTCTTGTAATAGCCTCTGGCTTGACGAATGGCTCGCAGACGGGCTTGTCCTTGCTGCACGGCCACCAATGTATCATGTTCCACCGCGTCCAGCTCATCCTCAGGAGAGTTGGGTCCTCCCCCGTCCTCATCATCGGCTGGCGGACTCGCCCCCAATCCATCTTCTTCTTCAAGCACGTGTGCACCGTATGTGCGGTTGAACCGCCCACGGGTTGCAGTGTGTCCCGAGGCTGCTGAAGAGGTGGACGCGCTCACATCGGGCTGCAGTTCAGGCAACAAGGGACGCTCAGAGAGGCCTCGCCCAATCGGCACTGTGCCTTGCAGGAAAGGTCCCATCCGGCGAAGCGCCGGATAGATGGCCTCAGTCGAAAGCTTGTTGCCAGCCGCGGCCATCACCAGAACTCGGTCTCGCTGGGTCAATTCCGCATTGTCCAGGACATAGCCTACTAAAAACCGCTCGCCCATGCAAAACTCAGCGTCCTCTTCCAGCATCAGGTCACGTTGTGCCTCCACTCTCATCAGGAATGAGTCCAAGCTCTCATGAGCTACCCGACGACACTGCAAAAACTCTCGCTGAGCCCGTTCACCACGTTGACCTGAAAGCTCTTGTACCAAGGACGAGTTCTCCAGCGTGCGGAAGATGATGTCAAGACCGTCTTTCCCTGACACCTGAGCCACAGACAGCTTGCGTGTCAGGATGGATGCCCTTCCCTTCAAGACGGACAGCACACGCGGCCCAATCACTTCATAGGGCAGAAGACCACCCTCACCAGCAATCCACATCTGCACAGCTCGCTTCCATTCCTGGTAGGACTCGGTCGGCTGTGCGGCAAAGCTGCTAGGATACGAGGAGGGAATGCGCTGAGATTTCTTGACTTCTTTATCGGCAGCAGGCGACGAGGTAGATGGCTTCTCATCCTCACTCGCGTTGAGACGAAAGTGATCCCATGCACCATCAGAGCAGTTGTTCACCTCGACGGATTCATTTGCTCTTCCATCGGACTGCCACCACTCTTCTACCCGGTCAACGGCCTCCAAGGAGACCTGGTGCCCACCTTTCTCACAAGCAGTCCCACTGGCAGGACCGGTTGATGCCACTTCCACACGCTGCCAACTCCTGTCGGAAGAGTTCTGTCCATCGGCATGGTCCCAATCCCATGCCTGCCATGTCCAAGCACGAGTATGATCATATCCATCAGTCCAGGTCCACCATGATGCGGAAGACCTGGACCAGTTCCAATGCCATGAGTGATCTGGCCATTCTTGATCCTGTCCAGCAACACCGTCAACACGTTCCGCAAATTGATGGTGCCGGTCAGGAACAACAGGTGCCTCAAAAGAAGGGGGTGGTGCTAACCCCGTCACCACCGGAGAATCGTTGCCACGAGCATAGGCAGTGGATCGGCCACCGTCTTGGCTTGTAGCCCCCAATCGACCTTCCCCACCAGCCCGAGCAGCTGATCTAAGCCCACGATCCACTGCGGCCGTCGGCGGCTCAGGCTTTTGCGACTCCTCGTAGTCGCTCTCAACTGGCCTCCGCTGCGGGCGACGCCGCGGCGGGGGCGGGCTGTCCAAGGCCCGCTGCATAGTTCCCCACTCACCTCACTGACCTGGATCGAGACGAAGGCGACGATGCACGACGGCAGAGCCCCCACCAGGGGCTCCGCTACCACTTAAAGTGGTAGGGGAACCGCGTGACCATAAGCGCAAACACAGAGTGGACGACCTTTTCGCACCTGGGAAGGTTGGGCCACAATGGGCTCCGGACGATCACTCATGTACAAATGAACACGTGGCGGGGTCAAGATTCATTTGACTGATAGGTTTTCATCCCATGGCTGGGTAGTCGGAGGTGGGCATTCAGGCGGGATCCGATCGAAGGATCACTTGTTGAGCTCAACCTGCGATTGCCCAAAGCGGCGCGTGCCTCAGTGAAGAGGACCAACATCGGCAGCATGGCTCCAGCCTGAGACATGTTCGGTTCCCCAAAGCCAGGTGCTTACATGGAGTTTTGGCTGTGTAGCCTCGTTTCACTCTTGCCCGAAACATGAAACCTATTCCAAGTCCTTTGCAACATGTCGAGAGGGTGCAAAGCACAGCCAACAAAATCCCAGCTCCAAAGCCGAGCCGGAACATCGCTTCCACCCGAAGTCGGTCGGTTTTGAGGCAATGCCTCGAAGCACTTACGGCATCCTTCCACGAGGTGCAGTTGGGGTGGCTCAGACCGGACATCGGCGCATGGGGTTTGAGAACATACGATTTCTTCTGGGCGGCTTGAGGTAGGGTCGGTGCTTGAATTGGTGTGTGTGTGTGTGTACTGTTTGTACGAACTCAGCATCGTCAGTCATAGTACACCTTCAACCCGCTTGATCTCCTATTTAGATCGTTAATGTTGCAAAACAGGGTCCCCTCAAAGTCAATAGGTAATCATACTTGAATTGTTTTCCTGGAAGTGGCATTTGCCCCCTCGAAACAGGGTTGTGAAATGCACTTGCAAGTTCTGTCCATGTTATTCCAGGATGTTTCGTTCATACGCAAGTCGGATGCCACCGAGATCCTTTGGCAGCGCGACAGTTGTGATAGCTACGCTGATCAGGCGAATGGGCGCAGTGGGGCTGCAAGAATTCAAGATGGTTGTGTAAAGAAACTAGATGAAACCACTGTGAGGTTGCAAAGGGCCACACTAAGGCTGTTAAAAATGAAGCACCAGAATTCAACTCTTTTGTGATGTACTGGCATTCTGCGCACAGGATGCTCAGGATGTAACCCTGTTCTGACGTCCAGGTGGAGTGTCAACATGAATGCTGGGTGTCAACATAGCTGCTACCCTCCAAACAGAGCACGATTTGTCAGACACCTCATGTTGTTATCCCTCCCCCAAGTCGAGACTGCCTTCAGGAGCAGATGCCCCGCAAAGGTTGCAAAGATCAATGGCTCAGAAACCACGATCAGCAGCTTCCAGTGTTTACATGTTTTTTTTTGTTATTTTTGTATAATATTGTATATATATATACACAGATTATCCATCCCTATCCGTGCTTTTGGATTTGCATACCGGACCTACCATGTGTGTTCGCCACATGTCGACCTACATTTCCACCCTTCTCGCGGTTCGTTTCACGGCTTGCCAGACAGCATTTGGGCATCGCAGCCCTGGGCGATGCGGTGTGGACCTGTGGCGTTGAATCGTTGTTGTGAACAAGTGTTAGCAACATGGGAGATCAAGTGGGGCGAATGATGTGAAGTGTGCCATGATCATTGAAGCACACGCGCGCGCGAATCTCCCAACCCCCCAACTCAAACCATTTTGCGGTATCATCAATGTGTGTGAACCGCTGGCTCGTTGACCACCCATGTCCACATTTGGTCCAAAAGCGTGTGAGGCTCTCATGCTGTTGCGCTGGGGAGCAGCAGGGTCCCTAGCTCATTCTGCAAGCACAGCGTGAGTTTGCTCAAGTGCGCAAGGCATGGGCATGGGCATGGGCAGTTCCCAATCTCCATTGTTTGATCCATCTACGGTTTTCGGTTTACGATTTTAGGGTCATACCGTACCGCATTTTATGCCACTTACGACTTATGTGTCAGGGTTTGCGTGTGCACAAACAGCATGTTCATACGCCGATCCTCGGGTACAGATCTTCTTGGGGCGGTTGATGATTTGATCATTCTTGGCCCTTCGGCTTGTATTGTCGGATGTCCAGTGATGTCAATCTACATCAATCTACCAAGGGACCGAAGTCGTTTTGCCGCCACAATCGTACCGTTTGCCGGAGATGGAGATGAGATGGGAGTTTCTGAGTCAGGGCAATGGAACCGTTTCTGTCTTTTTGATGGGGATATTTTTTTCTCATGCCGATTTGTTCGGCCACCCCATGAGCATTGGCTACCAAACTGCCTCATGTGCTGCGATTTCAACGGCGGTGCAGAGACGTGAATCCGTTGCCCAGGACGACCTGGCCTTTGTAGTTTGCCAAACAACAGAGCAGCAGTACCGTTTCAACGTTCCGTGCCCGTCTCGTGTCCGTCGCTATGAAGTTGGCTAGCAAGATGTAGCAAGCAGTTTGAGGATTATTGCCACGATTGCAGGCTGAGATTGACTATGCCACTAAGACTATGCCTATAGTTGAAGCGCAGTTCGCGGTGTGCATACAAACCCATCAAAACCTGAATGTCCACCCCAAAACCGGTGAGTCTTCTCTCTCTCATGGTGGTCCATGCATGTCGATGTTCTTCGACTTTCGGAAGAACATGAAGCTTTGGCCCCATGATTATACCATATTATACCCATCAAAGCGAAACGGCACTTTTGGCGAAATCCACTTATATACAGTGGTTTCAGAGTAGATAGCACAGACCTGCACAGATGTCCTTTACAGTAGATGGTTCATATAAACCATCGATTGGGGTCTGTGCCATCTACTCTCAATCCACTATACAGTACTTTAGTTATTGAGCCACACTTTGCCGTCCCAAGAGAATGACCATGGATGACCACAACAATAGCGAAAGGACTGCAATTTTCAATCAGCAGTGGATCACGAAGGTCATCGCCAACGTCGATCTCAGCCACTGGGTCTAATCTATCAGCGGGTCGAGCAACGCATGTGGCGCAGACAAGACACAAGACCAAAACTTGATTCACCTTAAAACCATGGGTGTTATTTGCTTGTGATACAATGTAGGGATCGTGTTCTTCGCATTGTTTCCAGTTGATTTCGGATAGCCACTGGTTGATTCTGGTCACCCAGGTGTGTCAACACATTCCACAGTCGCTGAGACTTTTCTGCGCTGACCAAACGCAAGTCGACGGTTCTGGGTAAGTATTGTCCACGAACTCGGGCAAGAGTTCATTCCTTCACCACTCCTTCAGCCGTGTATGAATAAGTAAATAATACTACATATAACGTTAACAGCTGATGAATAAATCCCCCTCAGCTGTTGATTCCACATGTTGACAGTTGATTGACAGCTGTTGATTGTAGACCTCTTTAAATCAATCTTTGACGATTCTTTTTCATTGCTCCGTTGGACACGAAGTCAGGTACCAGCTCGCTCACGTGCCGCAAGAGATCAAGGCCTGTGGAGCCGGGGGCCGACGGAGTGAGTCGTGAGCATATGGAAGCAGAAGCCAGTTATGGTGTATTTGAAGTGTGGGCCTTAGGATGGTGTAGGCGGTAGGGGTGAAGCCAACCGGCGGTATGAGATGCAGAAGGTTGCCATTTGGCTGTGGATCATGGCATAGGATACCTTCGTCATTGGTTGACCTACCTGGAAGGTCGTTCGCTACATGGTGGACTAGGGCTCCAGGTTTTGATGCATTCCCATATTGCTTGGCTATTCACAACCTATGGGGGCCACTGTCGGCCAGGTGGTTTCTGGGTGGAGGCGTCTCCAGGTTGTGTGACATGATTTGGGCCAACAATATCCCTAACCATGTTGTTCATTTCTTTACGAGCTATCCACTCAAGATGGACAACTGCAGGGAGTAGTCATCAAATGCGAAAGTAAAAATCGAGCACAAAGGTGAGGACCGCATCATTACCTTTGGGCGGCATACAAGGTTTTTGTCATGCGATTACGCTCTGACTTTGTTCACATTCCAAGCACATAATCGGAATCGGCACAAGATTTGATTTGTGGTTGGGTGGGAGTATATATATAAAATATATACATATGTGGCTCAGTTCAACATGTTTGTAGCATTTGGGGGCATGCTCTGTGCTTTTTTACTGGTTGCATGAGTGACGGTGGTACAGCTGCCCAAATGCTCGACCCAGTCACCTGGCTATCAAGGGCCTTGTCTCCCCAACGTGTGATTTTTGGGCACTAACAGGCGTGAACGACCTGACACAGCCTTCGTCAGAAGCACCTCGAACCTTTTCATAGCCTACGAAGTCAAAGGATTGAACGGCACGTTTCCTCACATAGTGACAATTCTGAACACATTATGTCGCCAGTCCCTTTTAGCCTCTTCAGCATATTCATTTCATGGTTTTTGTTGGGGTATTGAAAGGATCATAAAGAATCCAATCTTTAGGAAAAGTGGATCTGGGATGAGTCATCCAAAGGGGTCCAAGGAGGACCTGCTGCTTTTTGTCCTGCCTTGCTGCCATGCCAGGAGAGGGTGGCACGAGCACGGCGGATCAAAGGGAAGAAGGGGACTGGCAAGCTTTCGAACGTGCCGGAGGAGCTATGGCTGAGGGGGTGGGTGCTGGGCAGATTTTATGATGACCGGTTCCCAGTTGATCCTTTAAACCATGATTTTCTAGAAGTGGAGGCGATTTGTGTTTCCTGACGACAACCGTTTCAGTACCTAGCAAATCTTGGCTGAATTCTTGGTTGTTGAATATCAACAAATCTGGGTTACCCAAAAAATCACCAAACTTTGTGTTTGAGCCCAAACTTTTTGATACATGTTTCTTTTTTAGCCATAGCAAGTCCTGGTGATGTTGCATTGACAGCGCTCCTTAGATTGCATGTGCGGACTGGGGAGGGACACGTCGCTGACGTCGCTGCGTCTTAGCTCGTCCAGAAGAGGTCCAAAGAGGCCATGATGAAAATCGCAGGACGCAGAGCTGATGCAAGTGGCGGGGCATCCTGGGACGTGAAAGGCCTGCTTGTTGTAATAACCTTGGAACGATAAAACATACAAACCCCTATGATCAATGATATTGCATACATGTAACAATGTAGCTCATAGATCTCATCATTTTTCTGTTGCACTCGGACACCCGTCTCGCGGTCGCCGAACTCAGGTCGTCCAGCCGGGTGATTTGCTGATCCTCGGCCCCTTGGGTATGGCGGGTCGAAGATGGTGTCGTCGGCGGTTCGAGCCAATGTCAATGGTGTCCGTTCGTTGCCGAACGAGGCTTTGGAGGGTCTATAGAATTTCTGTGATGTCGGCGATGGAGCGTTTTTCAGCGAAGGTGAAGTGTCTGAGCGAAGGTCGTTGTCTCGTGAGCTCTAGGCACGGATGGCCTTTTTGACAATCTCTGGCAGCATGAGGCGGTGGAAATCCAGTGCGATGAAGTTTCAAATAGATAAATTATGATAAATTGTGTAGAGCAAATCTTCATTTTTCTGTACATTAGGTGATATAAGGTGAGATTCAGCAAGGCAAAGCCGTAAATACAACGGGCGAGTGCCTCCTTTGTGCTTTGTAGTTTGCGTTTCGCAAACCTTCCCTGCAAGTTATTTCTGGGGCATGATCCATCGAGAAGTTCACCCTTTCCGTGCCGCAACAGCGCAGATCATGGATTTGGCCACCAAGGGTCCGGGTGCACAGACGCGCGGACGGAGACAACTGAAAGACCGGCGCGCAGTGTTTTGTCATACCTTGTGGTTTGGAATCCAGGCCTTCCCAGACATACTGTAGCCCATATATTGCAGGGCCGCCCCCATGTTTCTATAATATATAATATAACAAGACATCAAAATGAATATAAACTATATAGCTATGATACTTTATAATGCTATAATACAAAGAACATATGTAGAGACATATAGATATCTAGATAGATTCAGATAGCTAGCTAGGTCGATAGATAGATAGATCATGATAGATAGATAGATCATGATAGATCAGATAGATAGATCTTTCATGACAGCAAGACCACAACTACACTCAAGCGTAGGACCACTACGAAATGCTCGACGCATTGGTGTTGCAGCCTATTCAAAGCTCCATGGACATGTTACATGTTCCCTTTTCCTGTCTCATGTGCATTCATGTGCACCAGTGGATAATTTGTCTAAAACTTGCCAACTTGGCAACTTGGCGACTTCACTGAAGCTTCCGCCGAGGCCGCAGATCAGCTGCTCGGGACTCGGAGATACACGCACAGACCACTGCAAAAGGAAAGGTTGGTCAGTTTGAGGGAGGTAGATTCCCCGTGCAGGGGGAGTCTCTCAATTGCAAAGGGGTGGTAGGATCTGGTCGGGATGCTGGAGACCAACAATTCTTGCAGACCTCACGTGCTTGGACAGCATTCTGAAGATCCACGTGGCTTTGTTCTGCACATTGGTCCAGTGTTTTCAGCAACTGCTACGGTGGGGAACGAATGGGTGAACGCCCAATTGGTGTCCAATGGAATGCCTATTTGGTGTCTATTGGCAATGATGAGGATGTGATGATGTGGGAATCACGAAAGAGGCGTAAATCATTGCCATAGAATCAAAGCAATTGAATTGGCCAGGGTACGAACATTTCGACCAATATCGCGCTTTGTGATCGCGTTGCCATTGGGATTTCCACTTTTTCCCTCCACGTCACGTCGCGGCGACCTAGCACGTACCAAAGCCGAACCCTTATGGTCCGTTTTGTTCGCCCATCTGAGGCCAGCGGGCAAGAGCTGGCCAACACATTGGCTCAGGTGGGCAAGAGCTGGGCTCTCCAGAGTGGTTGGGCGCGCTCCAGCGCCAGGAAGTCTGGTCATGTTGAAGCCACAATGGGGGCGGTCTTTAACTGGAGCCCGAGGGAGACTTTGGTGACAGCGACTTCCACCGACTTCTCGTCTCAAACTGCATTCGTTTTAGTTTCGACACCATTGTCGAGGCTGAGAAAGGGTTTCCTTGCATCGAGGTCAAAGGATCCCTTTTTTGTTGTGCCAGGTGAAGAAAAGCCACCCGCAGTAGTAGGGAGAGAAGTGGTTGTTTCGTCGTTTTTGCGGGGCGAAGGAAGCGTCTTGGGGTACCTTCGACAGAGGGCCCCCCATCTTTGCTCAACCTGAACACAAAATGTGGCCTCAGCTTGCGGCTCTGACCCCCAACTCTCCACGTTGCCAGGCTGCAAAGGACCAGTCGGAGTCCTCGAAGAGGCGTGGCCGGCGTGGCCTGCTTGGCATAGACCACTCTGTACCGAGATGTATAGTTTCTACATGTTTCTACTCTTTTTAGTGGAAGTGATACCATAACTGTGTTCCAAAGATCTTTGGGGGTCAGGCAAGTTATGGCAAGTTAGCTGCCCAAGTTTGCTTTTTGCTGCAGCTTCCTGAGGACGACTAATGCTGCATTCACTTGTTCCCCGGACGAGCTATTGATTGGGGAAATCGTCTACCTGGAATCCATGCAGAAAAACTCCCTGTTCCAAAAACACCCATTGAAGAGAGTTCTCATTTGTGACTCCCATCAAAAAAAGGATATATACACATCACCAAAACTAAGAGCAGATATGACGTGCTCGACCTAGTCCACACAAGCATGTAAAGCAAGTCAAAGAAACTGATCAGCAAGATACAGCAAGGTTTTTTGGAGGCAAGGTTTTTGGAGATCACTTGTTTAGCAAAGGGCATCGCTACTAGGAGCAAGGACGCTACTAGGGGCTCCTGGCCTTACTACAAGGAGCAATGTTCGCTACTAGGAGCAAAGGTCTTAGCTGACCGCCCACAAAAAATTGGATGGCTTCCGGGCACCGGGACCAGCTGCGACGGTGTGAGGAGCCCGTTCGAAGTGGCCTGCGAGCGGTTCAGCGTAGCTTGGCTCGGGAGGGTGGCTTTAGATGGTCCGGTGGGCCCTGACCGGACCAGAACCACGGAGGTCCGGTGGTTCTTTGGAGTGCCTGGAGTGCCGGTGGTTCTTTGGGGCACTTGGCCTGATGGTTAATATCTATATGGAAGTATCTATGGAATGCCGATGGATCGCCTGAAAGTCAAACTGATGGTCGACGATGGAACATACGTCATTCCTTCGTGCAAGAGCGCAATTCATGCATTCACCAAACAAAAGAGCACTCCAACGTGTAGCTTTGCAGCTTTGCCCCAGGAGCTTGCAACATTTTTCCATATGGAAAAAGCATAACGGCAGCTGTCAATCTTGCTTAACATGTTCAAGGTTGGGATACGGGAACAGAGTGTGGATGGAATCACTGCCGCTGCCACTCTGAGTGATGTTGGACCAGAATTATGGCTATTGGAACAGCCAGATTTCCTGGAAGTAACACATCCAATTTCACGCCAACTTCACAAAACCTCACGCTGCATGTTCTCCCCTCAGACCGATCGGCTTGTTTGGATGCATTTTTTTCTTTTTGTCTGGAGAAGGATGTTAGCAATTTTATGGTGAAATAGGTACTCTTGCTCACACTAAAATCTTCAGAATCTACACACGTTTCGCTGATCGCGAGCAAATCTCCGCCCGTGCCGGACTAGCTGCTCCACCAAATCTAATTGTTTGCAAACAATGAGGGCCTTACATTTTATGATAGGCTTGCAGACGCTTACATAACTTATTGAACCACCAGATCATTTGAGTCATGGTGCTTTGGTATCCATATCAGACCCCCATAATGTACCGTAGTTATGTTGCATCCTTTTTCACTTCGAAGTTAAATTCAACATGGAAGGCTAGGGGCACGTCAAGACCCTGTGTTTGACAACCCAAGGTTTTCTTTTGCGTAAAGTGTTTTTCCACCGTTGTCTAACCTTTTGATTCCTTTGAGGATGGATGGCACAAAGGCGGCAAAGTTGACGACATCACGGCGGCAACGAGCCCAGAGGTTTGCTAAAACAATTGATCTCAGCTTGGTTAGTTGTTTGGGTCAGCAGGTGCAAATGAAAGAAAAGAAGCCGGGTAGAGAAGGAGAGAGGCAAAAAGGAAGAGCAAGGAAGTTGGCAAAGGAAAGGGAGAGTGGAAAGGCACAATGGAAAAGAAGAGCTGAAGGCTGAAGACTGAGATGGAGCATATCCCTCATCGGCAAGAGAAGGAATAGCACCAAAGGTGTGCTCCGAAGATGGAGCCGAAAACCCCTCGTCCAAAAATCTCATCTAGGTTCCTATGTGGTTTAGCGGGAGTTGGGTGACACTTGGCTTTCCTTGTGCCGGCCTATCAGGCGAATCTCCGTTACGGCACACAAACGTGTCGTGCGTTTCGTGAAACGAGGTTTGCGCATGGGTCGTGCCATCGTGATCCATCGTGCTGAGCTGATTTAGTAACAGTCCTGCTCTTCCAGTTCAACCACAGCTTGTGGTTTGGCCAGTGAATCTTATTTTCATGCACAGTGCGCAGGTAAGCGATATAAACAATATACAATTATACATAGCAACAATTAACTATTAACTAGCTTCGCGCTGGCTATGTGGGTGAACTGGAAGACCTTGAGCTGTCCTTGACGAGCCGAACTGTTTGCCGATGAAAAGGTCGTACCATGTCGTACTACAGAGTGGATATGCATTACCTCTCCAGAAATGCTTGAGTTGTTAAAAGGAAGCGTAGTCAAGACTTGGATTCTCCAGCTGCTGTGCTTTTGTTGCTTCTCTCGCAGGCTAGGGAAGAGCACCAGTACCTACGCTGCCAGATGTGAAGGGCTGTAATCAGATCATTTGCCTTACACTAAGAATACATTTTCTACTTGAACTAGAGCCCTCTGGGGGCAATGTGCGGCTACTTTGCGCCATGCAGTGGTTGGTTCTTCTGGCACTGCTACCCGGACTGGCTGCTGCACCGTTGTGGCCTGGCAGAAAAACAGAAAAACCCTTTGGTCGGACCCAGGTGGCATGGCCCTCGCAGCCGACCAGGTTTCTTGACGATTTGGGGGCCGTAACTTCTCCTTCCATGATCTTCCATGATCTCGGTGAGTCGGTGAGGGGGAGGGTACATCGGATATTTTGCCATTCTGCTCGGGGAAATTCCCATATCCTAGGATATTGTTGCATGATGTTGCATGGTTGTTGCTCAAAGGTAAGACCCACATCCAGAGGTCTATTCATTTCGTCCCCTGTGACTTTGGATGGCATATGATGGCACTGGTTTTTGAGCCAAGATCAACGCCAATAGTGTTTGTATAGTACAAGTTGATGGACCATACTCTACCCCGCAGCCCCCCCTCTCACTTTCTTTAAAGGCTACCGACCCCATCTTCCGTAAAAACACATGACCGTCTTCCCACCAGCGGAGCACGAGCGGAGCACCCAGGAAGAAATGGCAGGTCCTGGGACCCTTCGTCGTGGGCACCGCGACGAAACGGCGACGCCAGGAGCACGCGGTCGGGACAGTACACCCGAGGACATGCGAGGACGCGCGAGGACATGCGCGACGAGCGACTGTAAACGAAGCACGAAGCTTAGATGATCTTATATGATGATGTCAGTGGGGAGGTTGGTCGTTCTTGTGAAGATCATCGAATACGATTAGTTTACCATGGAACCAGTCCTTTGTTTGAGAAGAAATACAAGTGGGAGCTTCGCCGTTCAAGCGACTGTGAAAAGGAATCACTGTCGGTCTGTCCGATTCTTCATGTTTATCAGAATACGGTCGATGTTAGTGATTGTTGGGGAACTTGCTGTTTGATCCTTTTGTTCTCACAGCTCTTGTTCTTTCCCAAACTAGGTGAAACACCGGTCTGACCCAGCAATCCATCCGTTGCCTGTCTTCCAAGGTAAAAATGAGTTGGATGGTGAGCCCTGGAAGGCTCAAACGAACGGCTCACGCGCAAACGGCGCGAACGTCTCGGAGCTGGGCGATGTGCAAGTCACCTCGCGTCGAGCTGAAGCCAATGGCCTGGTCGCGGTTCAGTGGGAGGCCGAACGCGTTCGCCCGGCAATTTTTAGAATGGTGTTAAACATATTTTTGTTTTTTCCGCTGAGGCGGAACGGAATGCGGAATGTCCGTAGCTTTGTTCGTTGTCTAAAGAGTCAGTGAAATCGAGATCTTCTAAATAGCTGATGTTTACAGAGTCTAAGAAAATCTAACAAACATTTGGCGCAATATGGCGCAATGGAGGTGTTCTTGTTCCATGGTGTTGTGTCTTGCTCAGCCGTGGCCATATGGTAAATGATAAGATGTGCATTTTACAATCTATTTTGTCCATTCGTGTATCTTACATGGAGCAGGAATTTAATTGGTTTGAATCCACGCGGGATCACATTGGCTTTGATCACCCCTCGCCATGTGCGGAGTGGTCGTTGATCTCCTCAGGTGGATTGGCAATCGTTGGTCTCGTTCGTGGGCGGCCATGAGCTTTTGGAGTGGCAAGCGACTCTTGTCTTTGAATAACGACAAGATCAAGCAGCTAGTTCAGAAATGTTGGTCAAATGATGTCAATTGTTTGTTCAACTTTGAATGAAGGTGTGTGAGTAAAGGCTGCTTTGGTTGATTGAGGATTTGTTGAACACACATCAGTTCCTGTCATTTGAACATGGTAATTCTATGACCTGGACAGCCAGTTGTTCTTGCTCTGGAGTGAAATGGAGGTCCGAATGGTTCCAATAATTGCTCCAAACAAAAGGCTTAATCTTTGCTGAAGCTGCAAGTGTGGATTCCGCAACTGAGACTTTGATGAGGTCGCGTGCGTAGGAGAAATGACCGCCTTTTACGTGCATTTGCATTGCTGGAGTGAAGTGGATGGTCCAATTGATTCCGATGATTGATTCAATCAAAAGGCTTAA